CTTATTGTTGTGTGTGATTCGATTAGTAGGTGCAAGCAAGCATTTGAGTCAAAGTTTATCCATTCCTTTTACCCAAGGTGGGATAAAAGCGATGTCTGTGGGCCCCTCGATGATTTAGTGATGACAAAGGAAAGTGCTCGGCCGGGCCAGGACTGATTTGATTTGTTCAATTAGTCAGTCGTCATAAATCGGAAATCGGGAAACGACACATAGACTGAGAGAATGATTTCAATCCATGTCTCATGTCTATCCGATATCTTGTAGAATGGAGGAATATATAATCCCTTATCTAAAGGACACGCGTACCTGATAAGATCAGAGTTGACAGCGGCTTTTGGAAGCTACGATTGCTGATCAGGTTCTGAAGTCATACGCAGAATAGTTATTAGACTTATCCAAGTGGGAGACTGTTGGATTAGTGTCTAAGTCCATAACTATTTTGGTATGTACTTGACCCGATTATGAGCATGGTCCTTTTGGGTTGCCTTCACCATAGCAATATGTAGGATGAATTAAGGAGAGAAAGGTTTAATTATGATTTATTAATATATTATAAGAATAATATATTAAAGGAGAAATCATATAGTTTAATTAATATTAGTCAAGAATTAATTAAGAATTAATTTTGTGGCTAAAAGAGATTAATTAAACTTAGGGGACTGGATTTGTAATTATAAGATAATTACGATTGGGCTATGGATCACCTAATAATATATAGGTTGGACGAATTCTATGGGAAGCCCATTAGAAATCGTCCAAGGGATATGTTAAAGGAGTCCATGGGCTGCTTATGGCCTAAGCAGCCAGATTAGGGTTTCCTAGTTGTAAACTCTAATAGTCTACATGTATATAAAGGACCCTTAAGCCCCAAAAAACGTGGACAAGTAATCCTTTAGGGTTTCCAGCCATTTTTTGTGCCTCCTCTCTCCTCCCTCTTCATCCAAGTTGATTAGTGGTGTTTGTGACTCCATTAGAGGTGCACACTTGAGGCACTAACCTTTCTGAAGCCAATCAAAGCAAGGATTAATTGTTATTGCTATATAACAATCAAAGGTAATTACTAAACCCTTATTTCAGTTCTTATTTGATAGATCTAGGGTTTGTAAGTCTTGGCATTGCATGTACAATAGAGAAACCTAGATCCGAGCATTAGGGTTTGTATGAGCACAGAGACGGCCTAATTCGCCCCAGCCACAACCCCTTCTCATCGCCCGTTCTCTTAGTCAAGAAAAAGGATGGCACCTGGCGGTTTTGTGTCGATTACCACGCTCTAAACACCATTACCATCTGTGGCCCTCTCCCCATCCCTACCGTCGATGAATTACTTGATGAATTACACGAGGCACTATTCTTTTCTAAACTTGACCTGCGCGCTAATTACCACCGAATGCACAAGACAACGTTTCACATGGTAGAGGGACACTATGAATTTCGGGTCATACCGTTCGGTTTACCGAATGCACCATCCTCTTTCTAGTACGCCAAGAATGATATTTTTCAGGACATGCTTTGTCGATTCGTACTAGTTTTTTTCGATGATATACTAGTCTATAGTAAAACCATCGAACAACATTCCCACCATCTGCGCCATGTTTTTTCTACACTCGCTCAACTTCAATACTACCCCAAGTTAACAAAGTGTATTTTTGGTGTCAGAGAAATCCACTACCTGGGTCATGTAATCTCACAGGTCGGTGTATCCATGGACCCAGAGAAGCTTAGTGTATCCACGGACCCAGAGAAGCTTCAGACCATCAAAGAATGGCCCAAACCCACTTTGATAACAGGCCTTAGGGGATTTTTGGGTTTGACAGACTATTAAAGGTGATTAGTCCATAATTACGCCCAAATAGGTACCCCGCTTACAGATCTCCTTCGTCAGCCTACCTTAACCTGGACACCAGCGGCGATCCAATATTTCGAAGACCTCAAACACGCCATGCTAACCTTACCGGTCTTAGCCCTCCCCGACTTCCATAACGTCTTTGACGTCACCACTGACTCCTCCGGGATAGGCATTGGCGCTGTACTATCACAAAACAATAAACCCATAGCCTTTTTCAGTAAGAAACTCTGCCCTTTCATGCAAAACGCTTCCACTTACGTTAGAGAATTGTATGTCATCACCGAAGCGGTTAAGAAGTGGCGTCAATATCTACTCGTTCGTCGTTTTCGTGTGTATACGGACCAACGCAGCCTCAAACGCCTGTTAACACAGGTGATTCAAACCTACAAGCAACATAAATGGGCAACAAAACTGCTAGGGTACGACTTCAAGGTCCACTACAAACCCGGGAAAGAAAATAGATTCGTTGACGTGTTGAGCAAAAAAACCAAAGCACAGATGTTTACACTATCTTTTACCACATTCCCTTGGCTACAAGTACTACAGGACTACTATACCAGCAACCCTGAAGGTTACAAATGGGTCTAACACCTGTCAACAAATCCAACCAGCTTACCAGGCTACACGATGCGTGATGGTCTGCTTCTTTTTCAAGACCGACTATTAATCCCAGAAATTCCCCAGCTAAGACAGAAACTGCTACACGAGTTCCATTAATCTACCCTCGACGGTTATTCTGGCATCACAACCACCATTTGTCGTATCAACGCATCCTTTTTCTGGCCCCACCTTCGTCAAGAGGTAACAAAATTCATCAAAGAGTGCCTCATATGTCAAAAAACGAAATACTCCACCCAAAAAACCTATGGACTTCTTCAAACCCTAACCATACCAGAACACGTGTGGGAAGAAATCTCAATGGATTTCATCACTCGCTTACCACCCTCCCAAGGAAAAACAATTGTGTAGGTAATAGTAGACCGTTTGTCTAAATTCTCCCATTTCATCGCATTACCTACCCACTACACAGTCGCCTCCTTAGCCACCTTATTCCATCAGAACATATATCGCCTACATGGAATCCCCAAAACCATCTTATCTGACAGAGATCCCATTTTCTCAAGCAACTTTTGGAAGCAACTTTTCACAAAACTCGGCACCAAACTTCTCCATTCAAGTTCTTGCCATCCTCAAACCGACGGACAAACAGAAGTGGTCAATCGTTGTGTAGAATCTTACCTTCGTTGCTTCACCAGCGACGAGCCCACCCGGTGGAACAAGTACATATATCTCGCTGAGTATTAGTACAACACGAGCTATCATAGTGCAATTGAAACGCTTCTTCGGCCCCCTTCAAGATATTAGAACGCATAGGCAAAGTGGACTATCGTCTCAACCTCCCACCAGAATCCCACATCCATCCGGTCTTCCATGTTTCACTATTGTGACCCTGCCATGGAGATTCAATGCCATCAGCACTTCCGCTTCCAGCAACCTTTGTGGATGACATACCATTAATCGAGCCTAATACCATCATTGACCAACGCACCATAACTATTCAAGGAGTTCCAATCAAACGGGTCCTAGTTAAATGGAAAGATAGGGATATTTCTGAGTCTACATGGGAAAACCAGGAAGAAGTAGTCATGCCAGCTGAAAAAGTGACCTTGAGGAAAAGGTCATTCTCAACGATGGGGGTATTGATACGGGTACAACCCAGACCCGGCCCAAAAGACCCATCGTCTGACCCGCCCGTTATAGACTAATGGATACTTGGAAGATAAGTTGCACCATCAGCTGTTTCAATGAACACGTGAAGCTTTAGAGTATTTGGTTGCTTTATTTTAGGAACCATTATGGTAGTTTTTGTTTAGAATAATTCTTTGCACGGCAGTTTCCGTTCCTGTTTAGGTGGAAGCCTCTAGCTAGTTCTTTTCTTTTAAATTGTAATTTCGGTATTAATGAGGATTATTGAAAATTGCTCCAGGCTTCTTCCTCTATTCCTTCTTCTTTCTGTGGAGGCTCACCCCCTTCAACTAGGTCGTAACAGTTTTCCAAGGATTTCCAAGCTTGGTGTGGAATCAGGTTTAAGAATTGTGGTCATAAGATCTTTGGAAATTGTACCGTATATCCATTGAAGAATAATAGAATATAGGTGTTTGGGGAGAGCCGCATCAGCAACCTTATCTTTGTCTTTCTCTTTAGAAGAAGCATCGGCGAAGCAGAAATCAACAAAGAAGGGGCGTCGAACCTTTGGTTGTCATTGTTCGTCCTGATCGTATCTCTTTAGTTGGATGGATGTAGGAGAAACGAAGCTTTCGGTAATGAGTGGATTTAATAAAAAAAAAAGGACATGGTCAATGATATCTATGGCAACGAAGCAGACGATTGAGTGACAAAAGCGGTGGAGGGAGCTACCTGACCCCTAAATTGAATAGAGCTATGGTGGTGGTGAGAGATAACGATCCAGTATGGAGGAGTGAGGCGGTGGTTTGGAGGAGCGTAGGGAGCAGTGGAAGGAACTGGAAGATTGTTTGGTAGAAGAAGGGTATAATCGCGATCTTAGAATGAGAAGCCAATCAATGGAGAAGAAGCCTATCAATGGCTAAAATCAAGGGAGTATCTGATGTTCATAAGCATGCTCCCTTTTTATTGTATATATAACAATAATAATAATAACAGGCCATCAGTAGAAATAAAATCCAGAATGCATACAAATAATAATAATAACAGGTCAGTTGAAGCAAATGGTGAGCGGCCGCAAAAAAATTTATAACATAGATTTAAAAATCCAAATCAACCAATTGTGCTTCCAAGATAAAAACAAAGACAGGAGGGTTAATAAGTCAATCACTGATCTATGAGATTAACATTCAAACAATCATGGGGGAAATACCACATCAGTGCAAAATTGAATTTGTCTTTCCAGCTGTTCTTAGTGTCGGCCCTCAATAGCTTAAAAGCAGCATCATGGTTCGAGCAACAAAATAATGAATATTCTTCTATTTCCTTGTCACGATGCATCCATTTCATTTCACTAAAATCTAGTTTGTAAAAACAGTCCCAAACTCCAAAAGTATAATTATTCACATAAAGGTTTTCACCCAAACTTACAAACTTCGGAAGAGAAGTTTGGTTCAAAAAATTCTTGGTTTCAAGTAAAGTCAATTTGGGATGTGGATTGAGTCTCATTTTCATATAATTGATATTCATCTCTTGTGTTTACTATACTGTTTAGCGTATATATCTTCCCCTTAAAATAATGTAAATCAATGATGGGGAAAGTGGAGTAGACATGATTCCATGCTCCTTTACCCGCTCTTGTAAACCATATTATGTGGGTGGATTCATCTAAAATAACAAACCACCACCACGATACTAAAGGTGAAAAGACCAGGATAGCCTTGACTCTTGAATATGGAAAACCATTTACATAAAAGGGGACACAAGGGAAATGAAGTTGATGCCTTGTGATAGCATTCACAAGCCAGAAGTCGTTGGTTTTTCTCCCAAACAATATCAAGTAACCACAAGTTAAGCCAACACAAATTCTGCTAGCAGAATGGGGAATGATGGTTTTAAACTTTCTTCCTTCAAAGTCAGTTAGATAGCAGGTATTGTTATAAGCACGAGGACGAGATATACACATGGACATGGGTGGAGGAGAAGGAGATATAATTACAGAAAGAGGTGGTCTGGACGCCATAAACCTCTTCCTGTTAGAGAGTGCGAGTGACCTCCATGACTTGCAAACTCCACTGAATGCAAGAAAATCAACAACTCCCAATCGCATCATAACTAAATAAAACACATCATGGTTAAGATCTGTCAATGGCACATCATAATTTTGGTTTCTAGTCGTACTCATTGCCTTACCCATTACTACACCTGCAAAAGTAAGAATAAATATTCAAGATCTTGTTAAATGCAAATTCTACATGAGATAGAAGATCTTGGTAAATGTTAACAAGCACAAGGATGAACAAGATCCTGAAGTGAAACCAAAACAAAATGCATACAGATATCCAAAATTTAGCATTTCGAGAAGAGATAGATACGCTGAACAAAAACAGTACATGGAAATTATAGATCAACCACGTGGTAAAAATGTCCTTGATGAACTAAAAGGGATACTCTGTTTCTCTACCCCAACGGTAGATGAATAATCAGTAATCAAGGATAAGAATGTTAGAACATGAAGATAATTACTCAATCACAATGCTGTAAACGAAAAGCAAACCTGCTTTTGATTTGAAAAAACTACATTCCTATTATACAATTGGCTAGGTCAATTACTCAATTACAAAACTGTGAAGAATCAACAAAACCAAATGACAATTAAACATAACCCGACCAAAATACCAAATTTATGGATCATTAATCAAAATAATGTGATTAATCGCAAAGGAAAGAAAAATAGGAAACACAACACCATCTTCACATGCTTCAAAAAATCACACTCTGATTTACTCAATAAACAAAAACAGAAAAATCATTAAATTTGCCATTAAACACTAGATAATCAAATAATAATAAGGAAGTAAAAGAGTTTTAAAAACATTACCGGAATGTCGGCGGTTTACAATTTCGGTATAAGAATCGGCTTGAGCTTGAGCTTATAGGTTTAAGAATTAATCGGTATAAGTAGAAGTCTAAAACTACTGTTGTTTCCATAATGATGGCAATCGATGGTAGACGATTTTGTTTGCATGATGGCAATCGCTGGTACACGATTTTGTTTCCTCCTTTGCGAAAGCAAGTAATTTTGGTAATGTTTCCATAACGATGGAATATATCTCCTGCTACTTATTGATTGTAAAAATCCTATGTCAGGGGCTCGCGCTCGGGGGCCAATCCGCAATAGGTCCCAATTTTTATAGTAATCTTGGGCCCAGGCTGGAACAAACTAAACTGGATCAACCAAAAGATTTTAAGTGAAACAAAATTGGTCTTTGACACCTGTCGATCTCCTTTGACAAAATGAACTTTGATGAGACCAGTATAAAGTCGTCATGGTCTCAGCCAGTTTTTTCATTTACTCTCCTTCCCTTCGGTCCACGGTCTTCATGTTTTTTTTTTCCGATCGGATTCAAGTTTTTTCAGTTGGGTTTTGTTTTAATTTAGTGGCATATTGTGAAACCTCTTCATGTGTTGTTTTCCGTAAAATAAAAAATAAAAAATAACGACGTTTAAATGTAAAATAAAGACTTTTAACAAAATGTATTAAATGAAAATGGTTACTTTTAACCAAATTACCTTAAGTTAAGTTAAGAATGTATTAAGGGCAATTTTATCACTTTACTATCTTTTGTCATTTTCATTAATTTAACCATATTGTGAAACCAACACAATCAACACCTATGTATACAAGCTAACCAAAAGAGGAGTAACATGGTCATTTTATGGTATATATATATATATATATATATATATATATATATATATATATATATATATATATATATAAGGGAGAGAGGTAAGTTATATTGAGAACATGTAAAATGTTGAGAAAGTGAGAACGGATCACAACCCTTTAACTTTTTAGATCAATCGCTAAAAATTTGGTACCATTAATGATATTACAACAAAGTTTTGGGTTGAAAATGAAAATTATAAATATATGGTAGGGGCATATATATATATATATATATATATATATATATCTATATATATATATATATCTATATATATATATATATATATAATAAGGGTGTGACACCCAAATTTTTTTGCAAAAATTTTAAACTTTTAAAACTCATCTTAAATTAAATCAAATAACTGAAAAAGTCATAACACAATCCATCAAACTTAACAATCATATAAAATAAGTGCGGAAGAAATAACAATAATAAGGTCCCAACAAAAATAACTAGTAGCGATGTCCCGGTGCTCCATGTCAAGCCTTAGCCTCTTTAATCTTGACACCTGAAAAGTTATAAGGGAAACCGTAAGCACAAAGCTTAGTGAATTCAAACACAGACATTGTACTAACATTCATATTTACTAACCCTAATCCATTTTCCGATTATAATTGTATAATAAGGACAAAGAACGAATCAATGCCTATAATACAAGAAGGACTTGTAGGTTTGAACCGCACCGGGAAGATCCCATATCATTTGGCCCTAATCACCGCACCTCACGATGAGTATTACGTTGGTGATCTTACCTACCCACCGCACCGGTAAATCCGTATCCTTTGGTGGTGTCCCCATATCCATAATTAGTTACATACAGTGCACATGTACGAATTAAAACAATGGTTATATAGCATGCCTTTATAATAAATTCAAATAATCACACACGAGCTAACTAGCAAACACAAACATCAATACAACGGTGTGAGAGAACTCACCTTGAGTGAGTAGTAAGGATAGCTAACAATCAAATAATGCTACCAAGCTTGATCAAACTTCAAAACCTCACCTAAGAAGGACTAAAGGTTAGAAATGAGAAGTAATGAAGCTATGAGTTGAGAAAAAAAGTAATCACAGCAAGGTCTTTAAAACAGACCTGCTGTTCAAAACGGATTTACTCCAAAATCTAAAACATAAACATAGCTTTAACTAAATTTTATAGGAAACTATGATTGTTAATAATTCCATAACTATAAAGAACTCCTTCTAACTCCAAAGGATGAATTAAATATGAATTTTACAAAAAAGGTGTATCACTGCTGTCTCCAACAGGACAGTCAAGTGATGTTGGCCAATTCTACCCAACTTGTGAGTAGAATTCGTCCAAACCAAAATTCAGAGAAGTAAAGGACATACAAATGAAAGTCTCAGAGTTTGAATTGAATGAAAATCATTTCCCAAGCTCCGGATATAAAATTTACATTGTAGACAATCACAGCACTAGTAAAAGCTGGTGACTGCCCACTGATCTGGAGTGTTGATCCATTCTAACCAATTTATAATTAGAAATAACACCCCATCTGCTCCAGATCTTAAATTCATAATATAAGGAACATATAGAAACTTGGAATCACTCTGGATCCTTTTCCAAGCCTTAGAAATGATGAAATCAAAATGACATATCAGAACAGACGCGGATCGGACCTAACAGCAAAGATACCATTCTTGCCCATAGATAAAGTCCTTATCAGTGAGGTTGTCCTCCTTAAGAAAGTTAGCCAACTCAATTTTTGAACTTTGGGAACTGGTTTGGGGTCCGTTTGAGTTTTAGAGCTCAAGACATGATTTTTACAAAATTACTACAGATCTGATGATAAACAGAATTGTAGCCACCCGTGATTCCTTTTTGGCTTATCCATCCTTCTCCCTTTGAAACACATTTTAAGATGTGTTCATCATCCCAATTCAGTCCCCATGATCATGGTGGTACTAAAAAGGGTTAGGGATCATTAGGATTTCATTTAGCCACAAGAATGTAATAATAATCAACATGAAAATAAACATAAAGCACATAAAATCACCATTCTCCCTTTTAGGGTTTCCATGATCTTTTGTAACATGTAATCACCTAGATCCATCATCCACCATATATGGGGTGAAGATAGGATCTTGAGATGATGTATAACATACAATTCTTTGCAAATAACAAAAGAGATACAAATCAAATAAGGAGCAGAAGTGAAGATGAAATCATAAAACTAGAACAAGGTTATGAATCAAGTTGTAAGAAATGATAAGGAGGTTCATACCAATATGAATCAAGGCTGGAAATGAACAAGAATTAAGCTCCAAACAACATCCCCTTGGCTGCTCTTGATCCCAAAGAGAGAGAGAGAAGGACAGTTGTGAGGGAGAGAGAGAGAGAGAGAGAGAGAGAGAGTAGGGTTTAGAGTTTTTTTCTTGTGTGTGTTCCAAATGACTCAATTAACACATTAAGTACTATTTACTAGATGGACTTTGCAAATAGGCCCATAGCCCATGGACTTCAATAAAAGGAGTTTACAAGATGATCAAAAGAGTCCAATAACATAAGAAATCATACCTTGGTTAAATAAATTAACCCAAGGTTACAAGAATAATTAAATTAAAATAACTAAACGTACCAAGAAAAAACCGGGGCGTTACAAAGGGAGATAGGTAAGTTATATTGAGAACATGTTAAATGTTGAGAAAGTGAGAACGGATCACAACCCTTTAACTTTTTAGATCAATCGCTAAAAATTTGGTACCATTAATGATATTACAGCAAAGTTTTTGGTTGAAAATGAAAATTATAAATATATGGTATGGACATAAAGGGAATTCATTTTATATTGATTACTTAACACAAGCTACTCATGGAAGCAGAGGCGTAGCTACTAAGACTAAAGGTAGGTCCTAGGACCTACCTAAATTTTCAATTTTATTTATAATATCTATAGGAGAAAAATTAGGAATTACTTTGGAAAAAATAAAGGACCTACCTTGAATTTGTTTTTTAGAAAAATGTCTTAAAAACCATTTTAAAAGGAGAAAAAATATGTTACTAGAGGCAATTTGTTAATTAAAATTATGGGATTGATAACAAAAAGTTAACCACTATTTATCAACACTCTCAAACTATCAATAAATAAATAAATTGCTCTAATAAAAAGAAGCTCACATGCCTCAACTCCTTCCCATTTTATAACTTTTACAAATCTATAAAAATAAAAATTAAAAGTGAAAAATAAAAAAACCCAACTGTGCTTTTCTCGCATCCGTTCGCTGCTTTAGAATTGACGTCGGACATTGCAAAAAACTCCCACTTTCCGTTCCTCACTTTATCAATGAACTAATAATCAACTATTTTTCAATAAACCGTACAAGTGTTTTTCCATTATATTTCAGTCGTTTTTTTAAAAAAAAAAAGAAAAAATCGGTGGTGCCCGATCGGTTTTAACTGGTTGGTCCAGTTTTTTTAAAGTACATAACCGGACCCTCCACAAGTGTTTTTGATTTTTTTTAATGGCTTTACTTAATTTGGGAACCACGTGATTTTTTGCTCTAGATTCGTCATTGCATGGAAGGTGATTAAAACATGATCTGTACTCATTTAGATGTTTTACACGTAACATATACACTCCTCCTCAGTGCATCAACCACCTTTAGGGCTAAAAACCTCTATATTTTCCCATGAATCTCATATTTCATTAGATACCCACAATATATACAAGGTACAAGAATAATAAGTAAAGGGCCAAACACTTGGGTCGAACTATAAACAATAATGCAAATACACATACAAATAATATGATAACGGCCCCCCACAGGTTGAATGGGGGGAGATTCACGAACGTTCAAGCTGGACCGAAAATCAAGGAACATAGCTCTTTGTAAAACATGTTTGCATATTGAGAAGAAGACGAAACATGAAGAACATGAATATGACCCGTTGCAACTTTGTCTCGAACAAAATGTAGATTAATATCAATATGTTTGGTGTGTTGATGATGAACCGGATTGGATGACATGTAAAAACATTATCACAATAAATGATGGTAGCCTTGGCAGGCATACAATGAAGCTCGAGAAGTAAGTTGTGAATCCAATATGTTTAAGCAACAACATTTGCAACCCCCCTGCATTCCGCTTCAGCATTAGATCGAGATGTCGGAACGCTTCAGCATTAGATCGAGATGTCGTGTTCTGACGTTTGGAGGACCACAAGAGGATAAAAGGCATAAGATGCAATTGAATGTATAAAAGCTGTAATAGTAGTTTTAAAGGTTGCAACAA